GGATTAAGGGCCGTTTCTTCAACTACAGCATCATCAACGTGCACTGCCCACACGAAGGGAGACCCGACGACGAGAAAGAAGCGTTCTATGCGCAGCTGGAGCAGGTGTACGACGGCTGTTCGCAACGGGACGTCAAAATCGTCATCGGCGACATGAACGTTCAGGTAGGACGGGAGGTAATGTATAGACCGGCAATCGGGCCAAACAGCCTGCATGCCGTATCGATCGGCCAACGATGCGTGAACTTTGCAGCCTCTCGGGGTATGGTAGTTCGAAGTACCTTTTTCCCCCGCAAGGATATCCGCAAAGCCACCTGGAGATCACCTGACCAACACAAAGAAAACCAAATCGATCACGTTCTAATCGACGGGAAATTCTTCTCCGACATTATCAACGTCCGCACGTACCGCAGTGCGAACATAGATTCGGACCACTACCTAGTTGCAGTACCGAGTCGAACGCCGCGACCCAACATTGAGCAACTGCGGGACGCCGGAGTTGCCCAGGACTACGCGCAGCAGCTGGAAGTTGCACTACCCAAGGAAGAGCAGCTTGGCGCAGCTTCTCTTGAAGATGGCTGGAGGGACATCCGTTCAGCCATAGGTAGTACTGCTGCAGCGGCACTAGGTACTGCAATCCCGGACCGAAGAAATGACTGGTTTGACGGCGAATGCAAACTGTTAGTAGAGGATAAGAATGCAGCACGGGCGAGAATGCTGCAACACCGCACGAGATTGAATGTGGAGCGATACAGGCAAGCGCGGAACAGACAAAACTCGGTTTTCCAAAGGAAGAAGCGTCAGCAGAAAGACCGAGATCGCGAGGCGATGGAAAATCTGTACCGCGTAAACGGCACACGGAAGTTCTACGAGAAGCTAAATAGTTCGCGCAAAGGCTACGTGCCGCAAGCCGATATGTGCAAGGACTTGGACGGTAACTTTCTCACGAACGAGTGTGAGGTGATTGAGAGGTGGAAGCAGTACTATGACGAGCACCTCAACGGTGAAGCAGCAGAAAACGAAGGTGGCACGACAACAGACCTTGGAGCACGCGCAGAAGACGACAGGCTACCGGCCCCTGATCTTCAAGAAGTTGAGGAGGAGATCGGTCGGCTGAAGAACAACAAAGCAACTGGTGTAGATCAACTACCAAGTGAGCTATTAAAATACGGTGGTGAAGCACTGGCTAGAGCGCTGCACAGGGTAATTGCCAAGATTTGGGAGGAGGAGATATTACCGGAGGAGTGGATGGAAGGTGTCGTATGCCCAATCTACAAAAAGGGTGACAAGTTGGATTGCTGCAACTACCGCGCGATCACACTGCTGAGCGCCGCCTACAAGGTACTCTCCCAAATTCTATGCCGCCGTCTGTCACCATATGCAAGAGAGTTCATGGGGCAATACCAGGCGGGATTCATGGGTGCCCGCGCTACCACGGACCAAATTTTCGCGATTCGGCAGGTTCTGCAGAAATGCCGCGAATACAACGTGCCCACACATCATTTGTTCATCGATTTCAAATCCGCATACGACACAATCGATCGAGATCAGCTATGGCAGATTATGCACGAGTACGGACTTCCGGATAGACTGACGCGATTGGTCAAGGTGACGTTGGATCGAGTGATGTGCGTTGTTTGAATATCGGGGACACTCTCGAGTCCCTTTGAACCTCGAAGTGGGTTACGGCAGGGTGATGGACTTTCGTGTCTGCTGTTCAACATCGCGTTAGAAGGTGTGATCAGAAGAGCTGGGATAGACACGAGTGGCACGATATTCAGGAAGTCCATCCAGCTCCTTGGCTTCGCCGATGACATTGACATTATGACACGGAACTTTGAGACGATGGCGGAAACGTACATCAGACTGAAGGCTGAAGCTAGACGGATTGGACTTGCCATCAACGCATCAAAGACAAAATACATGAAAGGAAGAGGTTCTAGGGAAGACAATGTTAGCCTCCCACCCCGAGTTCAGATTGACGGTGACGAAATCGAGGTGGTCGATGAGTTCATGTATTTGGGCTCACTGGTGACCGCCGAAAATGATACCAGCAGAGAAATTCAAAGACGCATTATGGCAGGGAAGCGTGCCTACTTTGGACTCCGGAGGACGCTCCGGTCGAATAAAATTCGCCGCCGCACGAAGTTGACTGTCTACAAGACGCTGATTAGACCGGTGGTCTTTTACGGCCATGAGACCTGGACTATGCTCGTGGAGGACCAACGCACCCTTGGTGTTTTCGAACGGAAGGTGTTGCGTACCATCTACGGTGGAGTGCAGATGGATGACGGAACGTGGAGGAGGCGAATGAACCACGAATTGCACCAGCTGCTGGAAGAACCATCCATCGTCCACATTTAAAAAAAATGGGCGACTACGGTGGGCTGGGCACGTCGTAAGAATGCCGCACGTCGACCCAGTGAAAATGGTTCTAGAAACCGACCCAACAGGAACAAGAAGAAGAGGCGCGCAGCGGGCAAGGTGGATCGACCAAGTAGAAGGTGACCTGCGGACCCTTCGCAGACTACAAGGCTGGCGAACTGTGGCCATGGATCGAGTAGAGTGGAGACGACTTCTTCGGACAGCAGAGGAAAACAAGGCCTTTCAAGTAATTCAGATAAGTTCAAACTCGTTAATGACTCTAAGTAACTACATTGCGCATTGGGATGTATAATTTAAAAACAAATCTTGTCATGTTCGCCTTGAATAAGTTTTATTCATAACTTAAAAGTTAACCAACATTTTGTTTATAAATGGTTGATCGATAATCAAAGATTTGGTGATATTTTAGAAACTATTGTTAGCCAGTAATTATTCGGTGAAACATTTTATATACCTTTTAAATTTAATTTAGAATTAAAGAATTAGATTATAACACACCAGCACCTCGAAATGCTTTCGGCAACGTGGGGCTTTAGGTAGTGATAAACGTCACTAGAACAATTCCACAGACAGTCAAACGTGCTCTCTTTTGCCTGTGGATTTGAAGAAAAACTTCAAATCCCCACATCCATTAATGTATGAGTTAGGTTGAGAAGTGTGTGTTTGACTAGTACTCTGGCATTAATGGCCCTTCGCTAAATGTCAACTTCTTTTCAATTTTCACACTTCCGTACTAGCAGAAATATCAACCTTTAAAGCTTCTTGTTTATATGAGTATAGCATTTTCTACAAACTCTAATTACTTTAGTTATTATAATCAAGCTGTAGCTGAGAAAAATAGAAAGTTGTGATAGATATATTTATATAGGGAGTAAAAAAAATAACACGCTCTTTGCCATAGTAATTCTTATGTAGACCGAATCCAGATAAATTCACAAATCTATTAATTTTCGTTTTTTTTTTTTTTTTTTAATGAAAATTTTCATAAACGTTCCTCGTGACCAAAAATGCCATTTTGCAAATTCAGATCACCATTTTAAATCGAACCTTAATTTTGAAAAGGTCCTACAGATAATGTTAAGATTACCCAAGTAACCATCAAGCCCGCTTATCACCCTCTGTGGAACCAAAATCCATACATCTGGAATATGCTTCTGAATCCGTACTCGTCATATAAAATATATAGATTTTGCATAAAGCGAACGGATTTTGCACCATTTTTCACGTTTGCGGAACAGAGCTCAACTTATCATTATGTGGCGATCACTGCAATCGTTTCAACTGAGATAGCCCAGATGCAATCCTGGAAAAAATGTAGACATTTGCATCTTCCTACATTTTCCTCACATTTTTTGCTCTTCCAGTCGGTTAGACATAAGAAGCCGGTTTATCATCACTTGAGGCGATGTAATTCATGGGATAATGAATAAAAATTGCACACAGCCCAACTCAGATTCCATTGTTTCTTTGTAGGGTGATATCTGCCGCATGGAGAAAACGAAGAAGGGAGTCAGCAAGGGATGTGGAAGCTATAAAAAGAATCCCCCCCCCCTAGCAAGCTTGAGACGAACATTCTCCTTGGGCTCCATGTACTCTCGGTGGTAATGAAGAGTTATATTGATCTGTTGTTGCTCCATTTACCAAGATATATAACTTGGTTCGGTGTGTTTGTAGACCAGCATAGCATTTCTTTGTAGCAAGGATTTGTAGCATCGGATGGGAAACACGTTTTGAGGGTTGATGTAATCGTATATTTTAATTATCGTGTCCAGTGGGGCAAACACAAGCGACACTAGTGTTGGAGCATGCAATGTTGCAAAACCAAATGTTTAATGTTGAATAGAGCTGCTATCAGACAAGAACGCAATTTATTTTTTATTGGTTCAGTTTGTTTTATCCGGATAGCACGTTCTGTGTACTTAGTCAGGCCGACAACACATTTGCGAACTGGAAAACGTGATTGTACACATCCCAGAGATATTATGACAGCAAAAAGTGACCATCTGATTGCTTTTTTTTTAATTTCCTGTACTTTGATGTTGGTCAACAAGTTGTGCAACTCTAGATTACGATTGTTTGACATGTTTGAATATAAAAGATCTAGTCAGATTTCAGTCGATACAATCAATCACGGATTTGTGTCATCAGACACGTGCGTACACATTACACATCCGATTGACCCTCAAGCACGCGTGCATCACACACATCATTCAATGCCGGACGTGAGCCGAGGTTTTGATGTTGGTTTAAATAATAACTAATAACTAATTTTACACGTGACGGAATCCATCTTTAACACAAAGAATGACACGTAAACACATATGTAATGTAAAATTAAGTGCTCCAACACTGGAAAGTTCGTTGCTCGACGAAAAGTACATGTGATTGAGCTGAATTTTGCGTCCAATTCGATGTCAAAATTTACGCTCGTATATGTCAGTCTCAGAGCACCTAAATCTGCATGGGTGACGATGAAAACTTTTGTTTGGCGTTTGATTCAAACCAAATAAGTATTTGTCACGTTCGACTAGTAAGATAATAATACAGATCTAAAAAGCCCGACATAAAACGTTAAATACAGCCATTTGACTGACTGCGTGAAAAATAAATTTTCAGATACATCAACCCGGGTCCAATCACGAAATCCATCCTGCAGCAGTATGACGATGAGCTGGACAATACGTACTTTCGGCGGAAACCGACATCGTTCCTGGCGGGGAGTGGCGGTGGAGGAGCGGGGGTTGCGATGGTAACTGGGAGCAGTGCCACGCTGCCGGCCGGAGATGCGAGGCGGTGCACCTGGATGCCAATGGACGACGAAGCCGTGCGGATAGAGGGACCAAGGTAAGTGAGATATAGTCAGAATGGAGGCGCAATGCACATACCCTCGGAAGTGGTTGGTTTTTCATGATATATACAGAGCTCACAATTGTAATTTTACGACTTTGTTATTTTTATCGTTCCAACTTCAAACGTTCGTTCATACATGCATTGCTGTGTAGAACAGTGTAGAATTAATTTTATCTTTTTTTTTCATTTATTGCTGTAATAACACAAGTAGCCATTACTTTGTGTCTATCCCTGAGTTCTATTTTTAGAGCAACTTTGAACTACCACACTGAAGTGCGATTCGTTTGTTCCGATTACACACTGAAATGGGTTGGAAAATAATCGTTTTCTTTTCTGTTTACTTCTCTAAATAACTCATCAAACTACCATCATGAACTAAGACCCTCAATTTCTTCATTGCACAAACTTTCTCGGTCTAACTCTAGTCTTCTTCTTCCGTCGAAAAGAAGCCTATCGCTTGCTATTCCCACTATCTCCGTTTCACCCTTTCTCTCCCCGCAACCTAGGCCACCACACCAACATCAACAACAACAGCAACTACTACTACAACATCAGCCCCAGCAGCACCACCAACGACTGCACTGCTCGTCGTCGGCCACTGAGTTGGATCGTCCCAGTCCGACCAGTATGCCTAGTTCACCATTTATACTGGACGCCCCTCCACTGGTCTATCCATCGGCGAAGGCTGCAGCCTATTTGAGCCACAGCACCGAACATTTAGACGGGTAATGATGCCTGAAAATAGTCATCATCCTAAATCCTCCCACCCTCTCGGTGTCTGCTGACCCACCCAGTGTGGGTGTCGACTTCTCATTGTGTTTCTGTTGCTCTCAGTGTGTGCGAGATGTGCTTTTTCTGGTGTACCCCACTTCCTCCTCACAGCACTGACGAAAGTCAGCCGGTTCATCAACATGTACATATGTGTGTGTGTGCGCGTGTCTCTGTTTCTCTCTCTTGGTGTGCCTCTCAATATGTGTGGTGTCAGTCGCTTTCGGTGTTTTTAAATGGGTCTCGTTTTTCCGAGTGGTTTGCGAAATTTGACTCCATGTGGGATGAGTTTTGATGTCGGTTGTGCGTATGTGGTCGATCCGGACTAACATTAAAGCAAACATTTAATCTGAATCGATGGGTTAAGTGTGACGTAACTTGGGAGTCGAGTTTCGAGAGGGGAGTATGTTTAATTAAACCATAATTGCAAATTAAATAGCTTAGTTAAACAAGATTTTTGTAATTTTGATCCCGTTTGGAAAATTTTATGAGCAATTAGAACTTATTTATGATAAGATTATTACCATCCTATATCCTCATACAATTGCAGATTTGTCCTTCCTTCACTCAAAGGAATCTAACAAAATTAATTAGTATTCGGCATATCGGCGATCGATCAAATGGCATTCGGCCAATTGACCCTGTTTACGTGTGAACGGTTTAACAGCTTTAAATCCGCTTCTTACACAAAGCTGAATATACTAGTGGAGAAAAGTGTTGCATGTGCACTATCATAAAACTTCTACACGCAAAACAAATTTCTTTAAGTACATCCAATTTAAGTTTGGATTTATTACATCTACTAGGGGAATTTACGTATTCTCGGCAACCTAAGCAGCGACCTTCTTTCTATAGCCTTTTTCTCTATGGAACGCACACATATGCAGTATTGGTTTGTTTACAATCTTTTGCTGCCAGCTGCTCTAACAATTTCAGTCGAAAGAATTGTCAAAAACTGTTTTGAAACGCTTTTACAAAGCTCCAATCTTCTCTAGTGAGAGCGAGTATTGCCGGCAACCAGTTTTTCTTCGGCAACCGTTCCATTTGAACTGCATGTAAATCTGCTGATCTATTATCGGCAACTCGAAATCAGCTACAATTTGTAGTGCGTGTGTTTCATTTCAAGAAAACCCTGCTAGATTGCTTTTTCTCAGTGGTAAAAATATAGTCAAATTGAAGCTGAAAGCATAAAGAATCGTTTGCATGCATTCAGCGAAGTGTTTTCGTAAGAAAATCTAGTGAAAATAGTGTTTCAATTTGGGTTGCCGAAAATAGTCTGTCATGCCGAAGCCGTCATTTCCCCTATATATGTTTCACACAACAAATGTCAAAGCAGTGACTGAAGCATACAAACAAGGTTTTCCAGAATCCATTTTTTTTGTATAAAACCTTTACGAGATGATCTTCAAGACGCAATGTATTTGGGGAAACAAGCTTTTTTTTTCGATCAGTCCGCATCGTGCTCTCTTGCCGTGCATCTATTTGCTTATTACTGAAGGAAGTGTTACTGCTACCTAAGCTACAACAAACTTAAACAGCACTTTTCAGTGCTCAAAATTACCTAGAAATGTTTAACCTTTTTCGACTCTTATTCCTTTTCGATCCTTGTTTGAAACTTACCCGAGGTAATCCTGCTTTGATATCGATTCGAAAAATTCTTCAGATTCTTATAGTAATCTGCTTGAAAGTCGATTTGGTGAAACGTTGTACTACCGCCATGGCGCTTAACACCAAAGAAAAAGGCAATCTCTTGATCCCTCTTCTGATAAAATTTACTTGGGCATTAAATTTGATATGCTCACGGCTGATGAGAATGATCAATCATCCAGGCAAACTACCAGTAAACTTTTCCGACTTAACGCCAAGAAGGAAAAGCTCCCCCCTATTGTCATTACCATTTCTGATTTCCATGCTCTTTGCACGGAACTTTTGTACTTCGTTAAATACAAATTTTCACTTCCAATCAGTGCTGATAAAAAGCATTCCTTCTACACTCAACTTAGCTGAAAATGAAGACAACCTTAACAGATAGACCAACTACCTGCATGAGTTTGAGTTTTGACATAAACACATTCTCTTGATCAAAGCAACCTCTGAGTATCGAATTCTACGTTTGTTTTTGTTCATTCGTGGCTGGATGTTTATTATCGCCTGTGTTGTTATCAATATTAATATTCATCTTCATCTTGGTGGGAATGATTTTGAGAATCAAAGGAAAAATGATTATTTTCATATTACACAAATATACTGCTGTAGAACGTGTTGTGTTGGTTGTTATACAAAGATTGATGGAAAATTATTGCCTCGTGCTGAATTGATGATAATATCGAGGCTTTAGGCTCTGGAGTCGACAATATTCAATATAATCATTTTGCCCAAAATTAATACGATTTTTTTGCTTTTAACGAACAAAACGAACATAATTCATCTACACTGGTCAACACGTGAATTCCATGTATTAGCTGAAACCTTGGACCGATTCAAACGTCTTCTCAAGTATCTTACTGAGAAGCAGCACAATATTTTTTACTTACGATACCAACACTGAACGTGTGTTCAAGGTTGTCTTGAATGAACGGCGCCGACTGGGATTGAACCCAGGCCTGCTGGGGTGAGAGGTAATCACGCTTACCACTACACCATCGGTGCCGTTATTTCTGAACATGTCCCAACTAAAATGCATACTGAACGGTTCTTTTCAGGGCAATACTTAAGAGTATAAACAGAGAGAACCCCGCTGGAAATCCTATTTCTTCACAAAATACAAGCTCTTGCTGCAGTTAACACATAACATTTATTATATAAGACCACGTAGTCCTACGATCATCATTGCGTTCAACCCTATATGGCTAACCCTTGTAGTTTTTGGATTCTGGACCCCCATCCCTTGCTAAATGTCAGGGCTGGTAGCGAGTCACTTTTAAGTGACTTGGTCACTTTTTAGTGACTTGGTCACTTTTTTCAAGCCAGTCACTAAAAAGTCTCATTTTTTAAGACCAAGCACTAAAGTCACTTTTTCTTGTAATCAGTCACTATTTTCAATTTTTTTAGCGTGAATTTATTTCAAGATTGATCATTCTTTGTGACGTTAGTCGTCTTTCTATATCTACAGGGTGTCTGCTATTTTTTCTAAATAAAATTACCTGAGTTTTCCAGGTTTTTTTTTAGAACTTTAACGTATCAATTCCAGGCTTATAATAAGAAAGCTATTTTTTAGTGCGTTAAAAATAAGCTTTTTTTTTGAAGATCAAAAACTACAGAAAATAGCCCAATAGTTTTTAAGGCATGGAAATCAGTTTTAAAGAAACAGTTTTACAATCAAATCCATTGACTGTTGAAGTTTAAAACTTATTTGATTTTTCATTTGAAAAATAACTTAAAAGTTTACTTAATTTGAGTAAGTCCAAGATCTAAAAATATTCAATATCCTGAATTTTCGTATTCCATGTACAAGTTTGAAGAGATATTGAAAATTTTCAAAGTGCCAGAATTAAAGGGTGTCCACGATGAAATTGCCACACACAAAATTGATTCGCAAAATTCGAGTTTTCATCCGATTGCCATCAAATTTTCAGGGATTGAGAAATAACTATTAAACTTCATTTTACCATTTTACTCGTATTTTATTTACAGTCCATACGCAAATGCCCGCACCTTGGCCTTAACCCCGGCCATAAGATTCTGCACAACCTGTGAATCAACCGTTTTTTGCATGTAAACCCATACTTTCTTCAGTTCCTCGACTGTCTTCACTACCTTAGGTCGTTTAAGAAGGTGCTGCTTCATAATCGCCCAGTACTTCTCGATGGGGCGGAGCTCCGGAGTGTTGGGAGGGTTGAACATTTTCGGCACGAAATTGACCTTATTGTCCGCATACCACTTCAGCACGTCCTTGGAGTAGTGGCATGAGGCCAAATCCGGCCAGAAGATTGTTGGGACGTTGTGGGCCTTCAGGAGAGGAAGCAGCCGCTTCTGGAGGCACTCTTTTATGTAAACCTGTCCGTTCATCGTGTCCTGGGTCACGAAAGGTGCACTCCGCTTCCCGCACGTGCAGATGGCTTGCCAAACCAGGAATTTCTTCGCAAATTTGGACATCTTCTGAGTGCGGACATGCTCCGGAACGCTGAACTTATCCTTGGCCGTGAAAAACAGGTTGCCGGGGATCTGTTTGAAGTCGGCCTTCACATATGTTTCGTCGTCCATGATGCAGCATTCAACTTTCGTCA